GCACCTCGAGGGAGACTTTCAGCAGCAGGGATTTTCATGTCCAATTGTTGTGTGAGGTTGGCAAGATTTCCATTCCAGGTTTTGAGGCGTGCCTCTACTGTAGAGGTATGAAGGGGTTCTACAGTTGACTGAAAACTGTTGCGTGACTCGAGTCGGCTCGGTGGGGGTATATGCCCGTATAGTGAATGCATGTCATCCATGACTTGCTTCTGTCGTTCGGCTCTACTGGCCACTGCCATCAAGACATTTGGTGGTGAGATGCCAGAGAGTATGTACAGGCTCTCAGACTTTGTAGGCTTAAGACAGCCTGTTATACATCTACAACTTGCGTTTAAAGCGGAATCTAGCTTCTTGACATGTGTAGATCGTTTCCACACTGGACAAGCATACTCTGTTGTTGAAAAGCAGAGGGCAAGTGCTGTGGGTCGCAGTGTAGTAGGGCATGCTCCCCATCTGGAGCTGGTGAGTTTGCTGAGAATGTTGTTGAGGGTGCTGATTTTCGTTGTGGTTTGCTCAACGTGGGCCTTAAAGGTTAGGCTTCTGTCCAATGTTAATCCAATGTAAACTGGATTAGTTGTGTGCTGTAGCTTTGTACTAGACCGTGTGGCTTTGAGTCGTCTGTTTGCTTCTTTGTTCTTAAGATGGACTCAAGCAGACACTTGTGTTTTTGATGGATTTGCTCAAGCATGTTCTCTTCGTAGTAGCCACATAGTGCAGAGAGGGCATTGGTAAGGACGTTCTCCACCTCTTTGAAGTCTTACTTTGAGTGGTAACGCACTGGTCGTCTGCATAGATGACGCGCCTGGTATGGCCATATCTCGGTTGGTCGTTGGTGTAGATATTTATACTAGGCCGTTCTTTTGTCTCCCCTATCTATTGCGTTTTCCTTCAAGTTCAACAAAGAAGCGTCGGTTAGAAAGCATTGCTTCTATGAGATCTGTGAGATGGACATCTTTGGTAATATCGAGTATTTTACAAAGGAGGAGTCTGTGATTTACAGTGTCGTAGGCAGCTGATAGGTCTACAAAAACTGATCCGGTTATCATTCCTTGCTCAAAGCCATCTTCTATGTGTTGCGTAAGGCTGAGGAGTTGACTAGTGGTGGACTTCCCTAGTCAGAAGCCTGCCTGTACAGGGATAAGTTGTTCATCTATATGTGGAGCGATTCTGTTCACGATGAGTCTTTCAAAAAGCTTGTAGGGGTGGCACAGGAGAAAGATCGGCCGGAAGCTTTTTAGGTCGGATGGGTCTTTGCCTGGTTTCAGAAGCGCCATTACGTGTGCTTTCCGCCAAATTTTGGGGATTTTCAGGCCTTCCATACAATTGTTGAATAGTTGCAGGAGCTTTAGTTTCAAAATGCTTGATTTGTTCTGTGGCAGTGTTGTCCAATCCAATAGCCTTCCCTGGTTAGAGGCTGGATATGCCAGTTTCAAGTTTGGCATGGAGAAAGGTTTCGTGAAACTTGGGTCATCCTTGTATTTTGACCTATTGGGTTTGGGTTTTGGTTTACTCTTTGCTTTAGGTGCCTTGCCATTGAGAAGTAGCTGATGGGCAACTTGATTGGCTGTTAAGTTGTGATGTTGGTTAGGCTTCTTTGGGTCGTTGCCTAGCTTTTTGACGAGTGCCCAGGCTTTCTTACTGTTCTTAGACATGTCTGTTGTTTCAATGAGAGAAATCCAACATTGCCGCCGTTCATCGGAGATGTTGGCAATTTAGCTCTTTGCCTCTTGCAGTAGTTTCCTCCGCAATGGGGTCTCTTTCAAACATGGCGGTGTATTCCTCATAGAGCTTGGCGCTATGTCTGCTAAACCTGGGATGTGGTACGGCAGCCTTTTGTACTAAAGAAAGCTGATGAATCGGGCTCTCATATCCTAGATTTTGAAAATGCTACATGCAGAACTTCACCAAAAACAATGGTCCCGACATTTGGGTTTCGGGTTTTTTTTGTACTCACCCTGTAATTTTGCGAAATAGTTTTGCAAAACACTACAAAAGTTTATTATGCAATACCTACCATTGCAAAAAAAATGCAATAAAATTTATCGCAAAATAACGTAAAAGTATTGAGAAATAACGCAACCGTATTGCAAAATAAAGCGAAAAAAATAATGCGAAACCTGCCCTGGCGTAACTAGCCAAGGCGTCACAAAATCGTGTTGCTTTCGCGCCGATAGTATTGTGCACAGTATTGTGAAATAACCCCAGTAGTATTGCAAAATAACGCAATAGATTTGCAAACCATTGCAAAAGTTAATTATGCAATACGTACCATTGCAAAGAAATGCAATAACATTTATTGCGAAATAACGTAATAGTATGGAGAAATAAAGCGTTCGCTGCGAAACTTGCCCTGGCATCACTTGCCCTGGCGTCACAAATTCGCGTTCGCTTAAGCGCCAAGCCTTTAAAGACCTGTTTATACTTCATGCGAATGCGAAGCGAATTTGACGTCATGAAACATTCGCTGCGATATTCGCCCGATTTGAAATCTGTTCAACTTTTAATGTAATAGCATTGCAATATAAAACGATAGTATTGTGAAATAACGCAATAGTATTGCGAAACACTGCACTCTGAGGATTGAAAAACTATTGCGTTACTTCACAATATTATATTACGTTATTTCGCCAATTTATTATATTATTTTGCAAAACTATACTAGGGGTTATTTCGCTTTTAAAACCAGGCACGAACTGGCTTCCGTATTTGTTTACCAAAGAAAACTAATACTATAATAATAGAAAACATGATGAGTTCAACCTACAGCACCAGGGTTAAAGCCCCTGCTTCAAATCTGCCCTCTTACGGAACTATTGACACTCTGTCTTATGACGACGGCGTCCGAAACCCTCTTGGGTTTGCCAGTCATCGGGCAAAGACCGCACCAAACGTCAGCCACAGAAATCCACACAGAAGCTCCACCAAATGGATGGAGACGAAAGTGGCAGCGACGAAAGCATCTATACAGTGCAGTCAAAGCCCAAGCAGCAATACTCTGTTGAGCTAGCAGTGGAGACGCCAACAAGGGATCTGAGAAAGACCATCAGATTTCAGCTAGACTCTGGTGCAACTTGCAGCACCATGAAGCTGACAGACTACAAGCAGCTCAGTGACACGCCTCCAGTGCCATCAAAGACTAAACTGAAACTGTACAATGGCACAATAATTCATCCTGTTGGAGCTGCCAGCTTGAGATGCCAGATCAAAGGGGTCACCAGGAAAATCCACTTCGAGATCGTGAAGGATGCCCCCTCATCTCTGCTGTCAGGTAAAGCAGCAGAAGCCCTGGGACTAATGCAGTTCGCACAGGAGTGCTTAGTGCATGCAGTGACAGAGTCACCGACTCAAACCAAGGAACAGGTCCTCATTGAGTACAAAGACGTCACTACCACATAGACATTGATCACAGTGTCAGTCCATCGCAGAACACCAGGCGCAGAGTACCCATCCCGGTGCGGGCAGAGCTGAAACGAAAGCTAGACAGCATGACAGCCCAAGGCACCATTGCCCGGGTGACTGAGCCTACCAAGTGGATCCACAACATGGTAGTCGTCAGAAAGCCAAACAAAATCAGGGTATGCTTGGATCCACACGGCATGAACAAGGCCATTAAGCGCAACCATTACCCCATTCCCACCGTAGACGAAGTAGCCCCGAGACTGAAGAACGCCAAGCTCTTCTCGGTGGTAGATGCCAAGGACGGTTTTCTTCAAGTCGTCCTTGATGAGCCCTCCAGTTATCTGACAACATTTTGGACGCCTTATGGGCGTTACAGCTGGTTGAGGATGCCCTTTGGTATCTCATCAGCACCGGAAGAATTCCAGCGCAGGCTCCATGAGTGCTTGGAAGGCCTGGAAAACATCGCAGTGATTGCAGATGACATCCTCGTCTACGGCTCAGGAGAAACGCAGGCTAAAGCAGAAGCCTCACACGACGCTTCATTCACCGCTCTTCTCTCGAGATGCAGAGAGCGGAATCTGAAGCTGAACGCAGCCAAGCTACGGTACAAGCTACCCAGTGTCACATACATGGGACACGTCTTCAGCTCAGACGGACTATCTCCAGACCCGGAGAAAATCAAGGCCATACTCGACATGCCTCGCCCTACAGACGTCCAGGGTGTGCTGAGACTCATCGGAGTGGTAACCTATCTGGCTAAATCCTTGCCAGAACTGAGCACAGTATGCGAGCCACTCAGACGTCTCACCGACAAGGACGTCATATTTGACTGGTTGACACATCATGACGAGGCCCTTGACAAGATCAAGAAGCTCATCACTAAAGCACCAGTACTGAGCTACTATGATGTCAACCAAGACATCGCGATCGAGTGTGATAGCTCCGAGGTTGGGCTAGGAGCCGTCATCACACAAAATTGCCGCCCAGTCGCGTACGCCTCTCGAGCACTTTCTGCCACAGAACGCAACTATGCTCAAATAGAAAAAGAGTGTTTGGCAATCGTATTCGCCACACAGCGCTTTGAGCAATACATCCTAGGCCGCGACAAAGTGCTCGTGCTCACCGACCACAAACCTCTGATGAACATCTTCAGAAAGCCAATCTTGGTGAGCCCGTCTACAACGAATGCGACTCCGCCTACAGAAGTACTCACTACACGTAGAGTACAAGCAGGGTTTGCGAATGTACTTGAGCGATACACTGTCGCGAGCATTGTTGCCAACACGACAAGTCACAGATCAGACACCACACTCTCTGATCTTCTCCGTCACTAAGGAGCAGAAGCTCAACATGGAGTTGGAGAACATGGAACCAAACATCTTCGTCACAGACGAGCGTCTGCAGAGAGTCAAAAAGGCTACGCTCGCTGACCAAACCCTAAAAACGCTGATGCAGGTCATCCAAGCAGGCTGGCCAGGGGACAAGGCTCAAGTTTCCTTGTGTATCAGGGAATACTGGCCATACAGAGATGAGCTGTCAACAAAAATTGGTTAATCTTTCGCGGAACGCGTATTGTAATCCCAACAGCTCTCCGTGCAGACATGACAGCAAGGGCACATGCATCTCACATGGGCGTGCAGTACACCACCAACACTTCACGAGACATAATGTACTGGCCACGTATGCACACAGAACTGGTGGAGGCAGTCCAACGCTGCGCAATCTGCCAGGAGTCACAACCAGCTCTCCCCAAGGAACCCCTCATGACACACCTAGTACCCAAGAAACCGTGGAAACTAGTCGCGAGTGACTGTTTTGAGGTCAATGGACAAAACTACTGCGTACTAGTAGACCTCTACTCAGACTACATCGACTTGCACGCCCTGGAAGACATGACTTCCAAATCGCTAATCAAGGAACTGAAGCCAGTGTTGCCACCCACGGCATTCCTCACACCTTGATCACAGACAACTGATCAAACTACGTGTCACGCGAGTTCACTCAGTTCGCGAATGACTGGGACTTTGAACACACTACCTCAAGCCCCTACCACTCCAAATCCAACGGAAAAGCAGAGTCCGCGGTCAAAATTGCCAAGGGACTTGTGACCAAAGCTGCCAAAGACAAAAGTGACGTGTGGAAGGCTATCCTTGAATGGAGGAACACCACTACTCCGGGAATGTCCAGCTCTCCGGCACAGCGCTTAATGTCTCGACGAACGCGCTCATTCCTCCCTTGCAAGAGCTCACCGTACAAGACCCAGGTTGTAGAGGCCGTCACCGAGTAAGTCGTGACAAAAGACAGACAGCTAAACTGTATCACGACCGCACTGCTAAAAGCTTCCCTGATCTGGTTGTCGGACAGCCAGTTCGCGCCAAAACTCGACCCAAGGTTGAAGGCTCCCCATGGACCCCGGGAGTGATAAAAGCCAAAGTTGCGCCACGCAGCTACATCGTAAAAGTCGGTAGCAAATGCTACAGACGCAACCGCTTTCACCTCAGAGACAGTCAGGAAAACGCTAAACAACCTACAACACCAGTCACATGCGTGAGTGAACCTCAGCTCATGCAGCAACCAGCTAGCACCGAGCCACCCAACTCGAGTGCCGCCATTCCGGTCGCTAAGGCACAAGATGTGCCTTCCACTCTGACAGACAAACCTCCAGGACTGAACACCAACGCTACCATCACCAGATCCGGTCGCATTTCCAGACCACCAAAGAGACTTTTCGAGTCATAAATCTGACTTTGGGACACTCACCCACAAAGCCTTAGGGCCATAGGCCAACACTTAGTTTAGATAGACTACGCTTGCATGCAGTTTATTGGTTGAAGTTGCTTTTACTAAAGTTGTTCTTAAACTAACCTTATTTATACTAAGTAGTGTTAAAGGTTCAGAGCTGTTCCAAATACGTTCTAGTGTTAAAGCGTTCATAATGTTTGCTGAGTTATTCACAAAAGTTTAGCGTTCGTGAACACCACTGTAACAGACCACAGTTTACACTCAGTCTCAAGTGAAAGTTCAGCAACAACAAAAGACTGTTCCTTATCTTAAGGAAAGGGGATGTTATGGAGTGGCATTACGCGGCCACCGTATCCATATTCTATGATGTTATTACGGGCTGTTAATAAACGTCTCTCAGTGAATGCTACACTTGAGTCCTGCCGTCTTTAGAAGAGTTCCACAAAACCTACTGCCCGTCCTAGACTGAACTGCTCTACAATGGCTTCAGATAGAGAACTTGCATCTTCTATTGAGGACCGTATCACCCATGAGTGGTCCTCATTGTGCCCCGACGACCAATTGTATGGCTCCTTCGTCAAGTGTGTGAGAGTGTTGGGAAGTCTCTCCTTCCATCACAAACCAAACGACCACCTAGCATTGAATCATCGACACCAGTCAATGTAGCTCGAACAAAGGTACTCACCTCCTTACCAACCAATCTTCCTGCTGCTCAATCCAACCTCAGTAGTGTGTATGACGAGCAAAAAGACCTCAGAGTCAACAACATCATCAGTGCTTTTGACGAGTGGGAATCGACCAACTCCATCCAAAATGCCTGGAAACTGGTAAAACAGCTCTCTGGTAAACGTCCAAATACCGTTTTCATTCAAGGTGATGATCGACTTGCCTCTTGGAAATCCCATTTTGAGAAGCTTCTCAGCTCTGATAATGCCTCCAATGACCCAGTCTCCATTGATCCCGTCTTTGATCCAAACCCTAACATCCCAACTGGCAAATTCTCCCAAGCCGAGGTCAACATAGCCATTAAACAAATGAAGCTTGGCAAGGCTCCTGGTCTGGACAACATACCTATTGAAGTTTGGAGGCTTCCTAAACTTAAGAAATATCTCACAAGGTTCTGCAATGCAACCCTTGAAGGCAACCGCCCTCCAGAATGGGGCTTTTCCGGCATCGTCCCAGTTCCAAAGAAAGGGGACCTCACCATCCCAGACTACTACCGGGGAATCAGCTTCTCTCAAACTGCTGCCAAGGTATACAATCGACTACTTCTGAATCGCATTCGTCCGGAAATTGAGAAGATACTCCATCCCAATCAAAGTGGCTTTCGGCCTCTACGTTCAACCTCATCTCAAATCCTTGCCCTCAGGCGCCTTATTGAGGAAATTCGTAACCACCAGAAGAAGGCTGCCATCATTTTCATCGATTTCTGTAAAGCATTTGACTCTGTTGACAGACCAACAATGTTTAAGATCCTGCATGCTTACGGTATCCCGGAGGAGACCACTAATGCCATTAAAATTTTGTATGAAGATACAAGTGCTGTTGTTCTCACTCCCGAAGGTGAATCAGATTCGTTCTCCGTCAACACTGGAGTTCTTCAAGGTGATCCTCTCGCCCCGTACCTATTCATCATAGTTCTGGATTATGCCCTACGGACAGCATTAAGTGTAACCGATGGTCTCACCCCCTCACACCGTAGGAGTAGTAGACACCCTGCCTTATATCTATCCGACCTAGATTAAGCAGATGACATTAGTCTGCTTGCAGACACCCTCCTTGATGCCGAATCTCTCCTCCATAAAGTAGGAGCTTGCTGCAAGTCCGTTGGTCTCTCTCTTAACGCAAAGAAGACTTAGTACATGTAGATGGCCATCAACCCATCTACCTCTGATAACGTCACTGCACTAGATGGCAGTAAGCTCCATAAAGTTGATGACTTCAAGTATCTGGGCTCCTACACCAACACAGCTCATGACATCGAGTGAAGAAAAGCTCAAGCTTAGTCTGCTCTGTTCTCACTGACCAAAGTATGGAGATCCTCGATCTCCAAGACCACCAAACTTAAGATCTTCAAGACCTCAGTAGAATCCACCGTCCTCTGGACCTGGAGTCCTGGACTCTGACCAAACAGATCTCTGCGTACATTGATGGCACCTATACACGGATGTTGCGGGCTGTTCAGAACGTTTCTTGGCAACAACATCTCCCTAACTCTGTTTTGTATGGTGCCCTTCACCCTATCTCCACCACCATCAGACAGCGTCGCCTTCGGCTAGCCGGTAACGTTTATCGACATAATGAGCCAGCTAGTCAAGTTCTCCTCTGGAATCCTGAAGCCCCTCGACGAAAAGGTCGTCCCAACATGACCCTGAAAACATCCATCGAGCTAGAAACTGGTCTGAGTAGTCCATCTCTTTCCAACACTATGCTCGACAGGGACAGTTGGGCCCAACTTATCAAGTCATCATGAAAATGAATGAATGAATGAATGAAGAAGAATAGATATTGTGGCGTCCGTGCCGGTCGGCCGCCAGAGGGCACCAGCGCGGTTCCACGGTGGAGCCGGGCAGTGGAGCCCCTGGTGACCGGCCGGGGATGCCCGTACTTCCGGGCGGCGCATGCGCAGTAGTATTGTCGTTGCCTCGTTGCTGAAGAGAATAGTTGTGTTTTGCGGTGTACGTTTTTGTGAGGAATAAACAGCCTAGAACCAGCAGAAACGAGTATACATGTGTTGGAGTCCTTTTTGAGTGCGTGTGAGGAACCCCAGAATTGTTCTACGCTACATTGGTGGCAGCGGCGGCACGCAGAAGGCGGAAAAACAGGTGAATTTTTCAGATATTTTCTGCAATGAATTCAGGAGATCACGGAAGTCTGGCACCTAACTCGCCACACGGCGAGGAGGCAGGCTGGAGTGCGGGCTCACGGAGTGGGGGCCCGTCTAGTGGATCGGCCGGCAGTACCTTCGTCACGTTGGACGAGTTGGAATCCTTTTTGCGGGATAGTCCGGGGAATTTTGACGGGAGGAAAGGGGAAACAAGGGGGTTTCTGGGGACGGATTTCCTCATGAGGGAGGATGTGGGGGATGGTAAAGTGGAATTTCGGGACTTGGGCGGGGGGTTAAGTCATTGCAGTATGTCTACCCCTGTGGGGGGCGGGTGTGCTCATTACCATAAATCATCAATGACTGGTACCCTGTCCCGCGAGGGGCCGCCCCGTGCTGTAGACGGCAGCGCAGCAGACGGTTCGTTCCAATCGGAACGATCCTGAGTTGTGCTGGTCGATGCAGCAGGGGCGGGGCTTCGTCGGGACATGCCCCAATTACTTGGTAATAAAGCCGCATCTGCCGGGTCCCGCGAGGGGCCGCCCCGTGCTGTAGACGCTGGCGCAGCAGACGTTTCGTTCCATTCGGAACGATCCCGAGCTGTGCTGGTTGATGCAGCGGGGGCGGGGTTTCGTCCTGGGGCAACCCACAATCCCTACGCTCATGAAAATAGTGCTAGGCCCTACATGGAAGCGCCACTTGGTGCTTACATCAATACGACTGGTGAGGCCTCCCATTCGGGGAGCCTCCAGGCTGGATTTGCCCATATAGCGGGGGCGGGAAACCGTCCGAGCACGCATCAGGGGGCACAACCGGGCGCGGATCTCCCCCAGCAGTACTTTCGTCCCCACTATCGCAGTACGGCGAGTCCTGACATCCACTCGGAGCAGGCCCGCACTAGTCAATGGAGTGGAACCCGTGGAGTTGCTCCGCACACGAGTCAATGGACGGGAGCCCGTAGAGTTGCTCTGCACACGAGTCAATGGGGCGGAGCCAACAGACTCGCTCCGCACGGACGTCTATGGCGCAGAGCCGGCATGGTTGCTCCGCACGGACGTCTATGGCGCAGAGCCGGCAAGGTTGCTCCGCACGGGAGTCAATTGGGCAAAGCTGCTCCGCACACAAGTCAATGGTGCGGAACCGACGAGGTTGCTCCGCACGGGAGTTTATGGGGCGGAGCCGACAGAGTTGCTCCGCACACAAGTCAATGGAGTGGAACCCGTGGAGTTGCTCTGCCCACGAGTCAATGGGGCGGAGCCGACAGAGTTGCTCCGCACGGACGTCTATGGCACGGAGCCGGCAGGGTTGCTCCGCACGGACGTCTATGGCGCGGAGCCGGCAAGGTTGCTCCGCATGGGAGTCAATGGGCAGAGCTGCTCCGCACACGAGTCAATG